GTTTACTTCTTTTTTAACGCAACGTCGTAATTTCAGTTATATAGAATTATTTTTCAAAATTCAAAAGTATTCGGGTTCAATTATATGTTTTAAATCTATTATACATAGCTAAAGTYATTTAGTTAAAATTATGTGTGTTGCAGGTTACCATATTATCCAAGTGATTTTTGACTTTTAGAGTAGTTTCGCCTTCCCGCTGCTCAATCATTTCTCTCCTCAACTAAGAATATTAATTATAAAACGTTTTTAACTGATAACAAATTATTTTATAAGAAAAACTATAATTACTCACTTCGAGCAATAGAGTGTTATTGTTAGTGTCCACGTCCGGTAACTCAATCTCACTCAGGTCGACCGTCTTATATTGAGGTCTGACCGAATCAGATTGCTGTAAAATATTGTTTATACACATGAAATTATTAAGTTATCGTTTTATCATTTTATCAGTGATAAAATTCTTTGAGTTATTACCGTTGGTCGGAAGTCAGGATGGTAAAGGACATGTCCATTATTGTCCAATATAAAGGAGTAACCATTGGCACCGAGCTAAAGAGATAAAACAAATTTYAAAAATCGAATATATCTTCAATCTTCGTATAAAAACTTCGTATTTACCTTATAGGCCGGAACAAGTTTCTTTAGGTCGTCAATATAGACGTCCATACCAACCACACCCAATAAATTGGCGGCTCGTTCCTGTCAAAATGAAGTTTAACAGTAATATATAAGATATCATACAAAAGTATTCAATATATTTACCGAATGGTTTCTCCTGTCAAAAACCGGTGCAGATACTGTCGTCATAAGTCTGCCATCTATAGTGTCGGTAGCTTTTAAATTGTCAACCTGAAATGATAAAAATTGAAAATCAACCACAAAATATACATTTTTTTGTGTTCGTTCCCAAAGATAAATACTTTGCTTGCAAGATAGACTGGTGACCAATATACCGGATGATCGGTTTGATACATAACTAATGGTCTAGCCATAACTAAAACATAGTTGAGTACTTTTTCTCGAAGATTTCTTTGGTCTTCGATATGTTCGAAATAACCTGAAATGTATTGATTACGTAAACTATAATGTAAAATATTGATAAATAAGAATTTAGTGATAATTATCTCGAAAAAAATATAATATTAAAATATTTTATGGAATTATAAATTTTTCTACTATTAAATTTAAACCAGATTGATGAAATAATTGGATTCACAATGATGTGTGTTTTATTTTTATAATTATTGAGTGATGTGTT